AATAAAAAATGTAACATTTTGCTGGGGTACTATTACTCTTGTTCTCTTGCAGTGTGAAACCAGAGATATTGAAGAATGTTGGAAAGGCAATCTCAACCTTCCCAGAGAACTTCAAGCCTCACAGAGGAGTGAAAAGAGTTTATGAACAACGTGCTCAAATGATTGAATCTGGAGAAGGCATTGACTGGGGACTTGGAGAAGCCCTTGCTTTTGCTACACTGGTTGTAGAAGGCAACCATGTTCGACTAAGTGGTCAAGATGTTGAAAGAGGAACTTTCAGTCATAGACACTCGGTGCTTCATGATCAAGAAACTGGCGAGCAGTATTGTCCCTTAGATCACCTGACCACGAACCAAGACCCTGAAATGTTCACTGTCAGCAACAGGTATGTTTTTTGAATCTCTAAAGATCATGACCACTCTTCATTTGTTTTTACGTGATCTTCGTGGTGTTTCTGCGCGCAGCTCTCTTTCAGAATTTGGTGTTCTTGGATTCGAACTGGGTTACTCGATGGAAAATCCGAATTCTCTGGTATTATGGGAAGCTCAGTTTGGAGACTTTGCTAATGGCGCACAGGTGATGTTTGATCAGTTCATTAGCAGTGGGGAAGCCAAGTGGCTCCGTCAAACGGGTCTAGTAGTTCTACTTCCTCATGGATATGATGGTCAGGGTCCTGAACATTCCAGTGGAAGATTAGAACGTTTCCTTCAGGTATTACAACCAACCACTTCGGCACCAGATGCTTAACATACGTTGGGTTTCTCTTGGCTAACCAATTTTACTGCAGATGAGTGATGACAATCCTTATGTTATCCCTGAGATGGATCCGACTCTTCGAAAGCAGATTCAAGAATGTAATTGGCAAGTTGTTAATGTTACTACACCTGCCAACTATTTCCATGTTCTGCGTCGACAGGTACAATTCTATCGACACGATTAATCAAACATGTATAAAAGGTTGCTATTTATTGTTGTAATCTTCACACACTCACTTAACGTCCATCGATTTGCAGATACACAGGGATTTTCGCAAGCCTCTTATAGTGATGTCTCCCAAAAACTTGCTTCGTCACAAACAATGTGTATCTAATCTCTCGGAGTTCGATGATGTTAAAGGGCATCCTGGGTTTGACAAGCAAGGAACCCGGTTTAAACGGTTAATTAAAGATCAAAGTGGTCACTCTGATCTTGAGGAAGGTATCAGACGTCTAGTCCTCTGCTCGGGGAAGGTAAAAACAAAAAAAACCAATCTTTTCTCCATTTGCTTGCTTATAAAATTGTCAAGACTGAGAGATTTAATTGACATTTGTTGATCTAGGTCTACTATGAGCTTGATGAAGAGCGAAAGAAATCTGAAACAAATGATGTAGCGATTTGCAGAGTAGAACAGCTTTGCCCATTCCCGTATGATCTCATTCAAAGAGAGCTAAAGCGATATCCAAGTACGTGTCGAAACTCGGGGAATTGTTCTTTCTTGTCTGATTGAATGTGAATTCTCTGAATTCAACTTGTGTGGTTCTTTTTACAGATGCAGAGATTGTGTGGTGTCAAGAAGAGCCGATGAACATGGGAGGATATCAGTATATAGCGCCAAGGCTTTGCACCGCCATGAAAGCACTGAACCGAGGAAGCTTTAACGACATCAAATACGTCGGTCGTCTTCCTTCAGCTGCTACAGCCACTGGATTTTACCAGCTTCATGTTAAGGAGCAAACCGATCTTGTTCACAAAGCTCTTCAACGCGAAACCATCACCCCCATCATCCCTTAGTTCCATTACAAAATAAAAGACAGCTTGAGTGAGCTCTTGAGATTCTGTATACAGAAGACTCTCATGAATCTTTGGTTACTAGTAATAGTGTCACTGGAAGGAAGTTTCCAGGAGAAAAGAAATGTTTGCTAGACTTTTCACTTTGCTGTTGTTACATACAGTATTTGTTTCATTTCGGTTGGTTTGAAAGTTTTCGGTTCAGGTTCATATTTGAGTTTAGTCCGGTTTGGAATAAAAATATAATCATATCTTATTATACAAAATAGAATGCTCTAATAAAAATGCGATACGTAGGCAAAATTAATTGTAATTCATCAAATTGTGATACGTGTTTAATATTGATCGGATGACATGTGTTAAATATAGATTTAATTAAGAAAAATAAAATTAAAATTGGAAAATAAACAAAAATAATTAGAAAGTAACTAACCAAATAATAAAAAAAAAATTATTGTTTAAATTAATGAATTAAAAAGAAAAATTTCAAAAATTTCATACTAGTTAGATTAAAAAAATCTAATAGTTTAAACTAATTATCAAATATTCAAATTCAATTAAGAAAGAAAATAGAGAGAAAGTGTAAATTCTAAAAAAAATAGAGAGAAAAGAAAATCAAATAAGAAAATATTATCAACGAGAATTTGACACTTAAGCAAAATTATAATTCATCAGATCATGAGTTCAATATTGATTAGATAAAGACATGTGTTAAAACTTAAAATTGATTAAAAAACATAAAACTAAATATAAAAAACGAAAAATAATTGTCAAAACAACTAACCAAATAGTAAAAAAAAATCCAAAAAAGTCCCAATTAGTTAAGAAAAATAACTAAAAGAGTATAAACAAATTATAAAAAGAAAATTAAAAAAAAAAATAGAGAGAGTATAAACAATAAAACAAAAATAGAGAGGAAACATAAATTTAAATTAAGAAACAAATATGAATGATAAAACAAAAGAATTTTTATAAATTGAAAAACAACAAATTAAAAAATAAGTCTACTACATACACATTCAAAATAAATATACTACATACAAAATAAATCTGCTACATACCACATACAAAATAAGTCTACTACATACACAATAAGTCTACTACATACAGTATAAGTCTACCACATACAAAATAAGTCTACTACATACAAAATAAATCTACTACATACCATATACAAAATAAGTCTACTACATACAAAATAAGTCTACCCCGTAAAAAAAAGTCTACTACATACCACATACAAAATAAGTCTAAATAAGTCCACTACATACAAAATAAGTCTACCACATACAAAATAAGTCTACTACATACAAAATAAGTCTACTAGATATCATATACAAAATAAGTCTACTACATACAAAATAAGTCTATTACATAAACAATAAGTCTACCACATACAAAATAAATCTATTACATACAAAATAAGTCTACTACATACCACATACAAAATAAGTCTATGACATACAAAATAAGTATACTACAATACAAAATAAGTTTACTACATACAAAATAAATCTATATACAAAATAATCTACTACATACATACAAAATAAGTTTAATACATACAAAATTAGTCTACCAGACTGCCACATACAAAATAAGTCTACACACTAAAAATATTACTATAAAATATTTTAATAGGTTTTTATGAGATTATTCATATAAATGTATTGTTTGATAATTTAACTATAATATTTTAATTGTTACAAAATTTTATCATATAGTTAATATAAATTCATAATGTGTAAGAATAGGTGTTTTTGTTATTAAGAGTATGATTGAATCTCATTTATGTATATATATTTTTTGGCATGCATAATATGAATTAAGACATGAAAATTAAGATATAAATTAAACTTTAATAGTTTGAGATATAAGTTTAAATATTTCAAAATATTTTGTAATTAATGGGTTACTGAATAAAACTTAAATTTTGATATTAAGATTTTTTAATGTGTTTATCCGCGTTTCTAGTTAGATATAAACAAGGGATACTTAGCTATATAACAAAGATTTATAGTCTAATTGGCAAAATAACAAAAAGTAGTGGAATTCTTTAGCAAACAATCATTTTGCTAAGGTTTTTGTTATTTTGTTAATTTGACTATAAAAATCTTTGTTTTTTTTTTTGTTCGAAAAAAATCTTTGTCATACAACCCAATTTCTCTATAAAGAATTAATTTGATTGTATTTTTGAGTATATTTAAATGTCTATTATAGTACTCTGTAAACAGAATAATTTAGGTTTGGTATATATATATTTTTTTTAATTTCCGACAAAAAAAAAGGTTTGGTTTAATTTGTGTTCTAAATATTTGGGTTACGGATAACTTCGGTACGATTTCGGATTGATAAAATGT